AGAGAGAGAGAGAGAGAGAGAGAGAGAGAGAGAGAGAGAGAGAGAGAGAGAGAGAGAGAGAGAGATCCATCCAGTTGGTCAAATAAGTGAAGGGCTCCATTTGATTGGTGAAAAAAATAAATAAAACAACTGAAAACAAACAAAAAACAAAGCTAAACCAACTCAAACAACAATTTACATGGATTCACTTATGCCTCTCCATATTTCTTCAAAAAACTAGATTTTATCATTTTCTTTAACATATTCAAAGATCTGGCATTTTTAACCTCATCTGTTCCACAAACTGGATTAAAGTGAATCGTGCTTTATGTCTCATACTAAAAACAGGGTTTYACAAACATTTCGATTACCTTAAGATAATAACAGGTCTCTTTTTTAACTAAATTTWCTTGAATGTTGGAAGGTAATACACCTTTGTGAGCTCTGTACATTAACAGTAAAATATTATAATCGRCCAAATCWCAGCATTTCAATCATTTCAATTCATTGAACAACATATTCGATAGATGGCTGTAATTCTTTCTAGTAATAATTCTTATAGCTCTTTTCTGTAAAATAAAAACAGGATTTATGATAGTTTTGCAAGCTTTACCCCAGACTTCAAAACAGTATGTGGAACAATTACAGCATTACACAACATAGTGCTTTATCATTGAACAGTTCTCTTACTTTGTACAGGACTCCAATAGATTTGGTTATTTTTGTACTTATTTTTTACTTTTATGATTTTTCCATGTCAGCTTTTCATCAGTGACGACACCTAGAAACTTCACTTCATATCATATTCAACTTATTATCATCAACTCTGACAAAAGACACTTCCAGAGGTGTGTACTTACTTTTTCTTCCYCTGCTGCACAAACAGCGAAGGGCAGAGCCGTGTTGTTAGCATGGTGGTTCGGGTAGTAAAGGACAAGCCCGCTTCCAACTACAGAACCTAAAACACAAGCGCGGTATTTTCCAAAGTTTCTCACAGTCCGAGGAATCCTCAGGACAGTCCTCGACAAGGAAGCAAACTTTCCCCAGGTGGCCATTTTCAGGTAGCTTCCTGGCTAACTTTAAGGCTTCCGTAACTGCGCAGCATGCATGCGGAACTGCCACAGACCCTGAGAGACACGCCTCCTGAGAGACACGCCCCCTGAGAGACACGCCTCCTGAGAGACACGCCCCCTGAGAGACACGCCCCCTCTTCCGAAAAGAGTCAACAAAAATGTCAACATTAAATTTGAATTTTGCTATTGAAGGGGCTGTGCATTTTTGTTCAAAATAAATTCATCTATTAAACTACAGAGTTTCATAGCATTTTTGTTTTTTTATACATTTGACAGTCTTAAAAAGGAGGAATTTATTAAAACACGTACACAAATGGGTCTTGTAAAGAGAGCCATCCATCCTGCCAGAGAGCTTCACTTGAACACATTTGAAGAATAAATTATCCATATTTTCAGTTTCATTACAAAACACACAGTTAGCAGTTTCAATCCTAAACCATTAGAGGGATGACTTTTGGGTTAAGATTGAATTTTACATCATGTTCATATTTTTACATTCTCTTCCATCTTTAGCTATATGAAGGCCAAGATATTTAACTGAGGATTTAAATGGAATGGAAAGAGAAGGGGAAGGGTTTTTACTTCAGATAATAAAAAAAGAATCATGTGTGAATGAATCCTGAAAGAATCTGAATCAATCCCTTCAGGAGTT